CAGGTCCAAGCTCTTTACCTGTGCTTTACTGTCTCTCATAATAAATATAGAGGTAAATCCTTATATTGACTTCATTTTTTATAATTTTTAATTTTTTATCTTATTCTTCCTAATATTTTTTCTTTAGCCCCATGCCCGTGCCCCTTAACTACTAAAAAGAAAACTGTATCTGTTGCGTATTTCATTTTTGTAAGTCACTCCAAAATCTCGTTGGAAATACGTAGATGCCAATTGTTCCCCGCAGCACTTTATTTGTATTGCTCAAAAAGAGTCGACTTAACCTATGAAATCAGTCCTGGATGCATGAAGGTAATCGAATTCTTTGAAGTCGCAATGATACATACACTCTTGAAACAAGCATAAATTTAAGTATTACATTTTTAAAAAGCAAAAGGGTGTAAGTGCATGTTTGGGGGAATGGTCGGCTCAAAAAAGTCTGAGATTTCTGAAGAGGGTGAGGTTAGGGAGGAGACAACGCTGAGACTTGGACGAATGTGAGACGGCGGCAGAGAAGCAGCCTCTTCCCTGCTGCAGGCTAGGGGTGACATCCCGGCCGGTCTCCTCTCCAGTCCGGCTGGGGGCGGTCACCGGGTCTTCTCTAAAGCCGTTTTCCAGTTATGACAGCCTCAGAGTACCTCTGCCCGGCAGGAAACGGGAACCCAGTTGTCCACCCAAAGAAAACCCCATTTCCCTTTCATTTTCCCGTCACCATGGCTTGGAAGCCCCCGGGGAGGCTCAGACCATCCTTCCACATACACACACCACCAAGGCCTTTCCTGTAACCCTCCCCGCTTCCACAACCGCGATCTGCGGCGCCGCGGCCGCCCTGGGTCCCCAGACCCACCTGCGACCCCGATGTCAACAACGACCGCGCGACCAAGGGCAGCAAGGAGCTCAGCCACCAGCGCCAGCGGAAACTGCGACCTCGGGACCCGCCATTCGCCGCGCCCGCACGGAGGAGAGGGGTGGTGCCGGCAAATCATACCTCTTCTTCCTTACAATATTTGATTCTTCTCATGTTTTTAGCTTCAAAAAATTATCAGTAATTTTTGAACAAAACATCGGTCCAAAGTGACGAGAATTGTTGGCGTAGGCGCCGTCGCTTTCCTGCAGCTTCGTCCCCGGCCCCCCCTCCGAAAGTGGTATCACCCCTGGTCTTCCCCGCCTCGGCACTTCGCCTCCAGCTTCAAAATGGCGGCGGCCAGTGAGGCGTCCTGCCGGCCGATCGACAGGAGTGCTGCTGAGTGAACATCAGCTTTTCTCCCCTCCGAACCTGGATTCGACTAGGGGTTGGGAAGGGCAGTGGACGGCGTTGGGGGAGGCCTGACGAGGCAAGTGGGCCGGGAGGAGGAGTGAGGCTTTGGATGGGGGAGGGGGCGCCTTCGGCCCTGCGGAAGAGCCGGGTTCCCACTCCGACCCGTTCTCCCCTGCGGAAGTGCTCCCGCGGTTTTGGTTGCGACTGTCCTGGTTGTTCCTGGCAGAAGAGCTCGGCGAGGGAAAGAGAAGTGACTTCTCCGTGGGTCTAAAACTCCCGCTGTTTTGCGGCAGTCCGTTCGGTTCACTCCCATGCTCTCCTTCCCTCCTTTCTGCTGTTTCCCTCTTTTGCCGCTGGAGGACTTAATCCGACTCCAGCTTTGCCTCCTTCGCCTCGTGGCTACGGCGTTCTCAGCCTGGCCGCTCGGGGTCTCGGGTTGAGAGACCATGAGGCTACTAAACGCTGGGCACAAAGTAGGCGTCCTTTTAGTTCATCGACTCCAAATACCTTTCGGACGGTGTACCACGCTTTGTTAAAATTGCCTTGGCGCTCTGCCCCCTCCCGCCATCGCCCTGGAGCGCTTCCTCTATCACTGCAATTTCCCAAGACTTCATTCGTTTTGACTTCATACTGTTGTATCTGCTCTTCAGAAAACAATAGGTCTGACTGGCTCTAACCCCGGCAAGTTAAGTCTGGCCTCCTGTGACCAGGTGAACCTGAACTATCATTTATGTCCATCCCCAATTTTTAATTTTTTCACGCCTTTGAGCCTGTTATGAAACTGCTACTCCTCCCTTCCTTCTCCCCCACCCCCGAGAGACTTCCCACCCAGTGAGCTCCAGGGCTACCCTAGACTCCTTCATTTTCCCTTAGATTTTGCATAGTTCCCCTTAGTTTTCATCAGTATGCACGATCTTTATTGAGAGAGCAAGTAACTGTGATAGATATTGGAGATAAAGCAGAGTAGTTAGTATCTGTCAAAATCAGTGCCCTGAAGGAACTTAAGAGGAGGGTTCATCCCTTCCTTCAGTATCTGTTTATATTGCCTTGAGGACTGTGCTTGGTATTGGAGATACAAAGATGATTACTTCCTCTCTATGCATTCATCATCCATTCCACAAATATTCTTTGTGCCCCCTTCGTAACACAAAAATAACCAACTTTGCTTGGGGGCAACGAAGAAGCTTCATAAAAGTGTAGATATTTGAGTTGGGTCATGAAGGATCAAAAGAAGTTGGTTCCTGGATGCAGTACAGGGATACAGAGCTTTAAGAAGCTTTAGCATACTTAGGGAGAGTGGGAAAATAAATGTGCTTGAGGATTATTTAATGCAAGGTGAATCATTATTTAATGATTAGTGAAGCAAGAGATATGTTGAGATCACCTTGCAAAGCATCTTGATTTCCGCCTAAGGAGGTTAGATTTTCAGTAGTTAGCCGGAAGCTAGTGGCTATTTCATGCATGGAGGGGGCATGAGGATATTTGCTTTTTAGGATGGTTTCTGACACCTATATGGAGGATCAGCTGGGAACAGGAAAACTAGATGAAAGGAAATTGGCAGTCCTTCAGGTAAGGCAATGAGTGCCTCTACTGAGGTAGGACAGTAAAGTGTGTCAGAGAGATATTAAGTAAATGTCAAATGGGATTCAACTGGTGGCTGCCAATTTGGTAAGAGGGTGACTTCAGCTTTTAGTTGGGAAGACTAAATGTTTGGTGATACCATTAAAATCTGTTCTGAGACACGTACATAAAAATAGAATGGTGCCAACCTGCACTTTAGGAGTGGCAGAATACAACACTCAGCAGTCTAAAGCATTGATTTTAGAGTCTAGACCTGTGCTATTACAGTAGCCACTAGCCACATGTAGCTATTGAGCACTTGAAATGTGGTTAGTTCTAATTGAGATGTGCTGTAAATATAAAATATACACTGGATTTTTGAAGACTTAGTATGAAAAACAATGTAAAATATCTCATTTTTAATAACGGTTACATTTTGAAATGATACATTGGGTTAAATATATTAAAATTAATTTCACCTGTTTTTTGCTTTTCAATGTGGCTTTAAAAAAATTTGAAGCTATGATACATTTGTGGCATGTGACGTATTTCTGTTGACAGAGCTGTTCTAGTTTAGACTAATGATGGGATTTATAAGGAGGTGGAATATGAGCTTGGGCCTTGAGACATTGAGCAGTGATGTCAGGGTTGCTTCCTGGAGACCTCCATTGCCAGTTAAGGCATTCAGTTTTTTGTTTTGCTCTCGAAGACGACTTCGAAGATTTCTGAGCAAGGGGTAAAGTGTGCAGGGGTGTTTCTGAAGATTGATCTGGAAGCAGTATTTAGGTTGAGATGAAGGGAGGAAAGGCTGGAGGCAGAGAAACTGAGAAACCCAAATGTAAGGTAATGAGGTCCTGTGTTAAAGTACTGGCAGTAGGAATAGAAAGGGAAAGTTACATGTGCAAGGCCTTCTGAGGAAAGAGTGACCAGGAGTTGGAAATGGACTGTCCCAGAAGAAGTAAAGGGAAGAATCAGCATGAAGTTTCAAGCCTTGGTTACTTAGATAACAACTAATGAATTGATGTCACAGCATTATAGAATATATTTGAGGCTAAAGATATTTAGTCTCCAAATAGAACCAGCAAAGTTGAGGGGAGGAAGTGGTCTGCCAAATACCCTCCCTCTTTATCTCCCTGCTTTATCTTCTAATCCAATCAATCATACACACCAGCTGCTTTTCCTAAAATACAGAATTACCTATATCATGCCACTCTACTTGGTAATGAATTTTAAAATGTTTCTCTGTTGGCCTGTAGCACTAGGTCCAGAGTTTCCAAAGCCCTTAATTATTTGGCCTTTTATGTTCTTTAGGTCTTTTCTTTCATTTTTTGCTTATATGAAAGTATGCCAGACTAGTGGTTTCACTGGTACACTGTAAGTTTGTGTTTTGTGCTTTCGCTCGTGTTATTCCTCTGTTTTGAATACCTTTTCTGTTTCTACCCAGGTCTTTCCAATTCTTAATGAATAATCTTAGATCCCACCTCTTTGATTCTTAATAACATAAGCTAATGTCAATTTTTAAAATCCTATTTCCTAAACTGCATAGTTGAGCCCCAATTATAGCCAGTTTTGTTCATTATTATTTTTATGTCTTTTATTGTTTTATTCCTATGTTTTACGTAAGCTTAAGCTTCCTAAAATTATGACAATTTTTTTTAAAGGGCTATATGTTATATACACCATAATTATAAACAGAACTAAATCATACCACATTCATGAGGTTCTTATTTGTTTGTTTTTTAGATTTATAAAGAACTCCTCTGAATTCATGGTGTTTCATTATACATACAACTGAGATATCAGTAAGTAATGAATGTATAATAAAGATACAGCTTTATTATGAGTAATTGTAGTAAAACTATCTTTTCATCTGTTGAAATCTTGGCCTGTCTGCAAAAAGGTTTTAACATGAACTCATTCAGTTCTAACTGTAAGATACTTTGTATTTTCACTTCATAATCTAAATGAAGAAAGTAGGAATCAAGGAAGCTTGAGTAGAAAAAGAGTTTCTCTTAGGCCATTAATATAATTGTGGCACAGGAAGCTTTTTGCAGGGAGAATTTCCTATGTCCTTTCCAGATTGTATTTATAAACATATTCATCAAGTAGATAATTAATGTCTTTGTACTTCTCATACCTCAGGTAAGAACACATCAAGTCAGTATATATTAAATTTTAACTTACCAACATTTATTTATTTATTTATTTTTTTTTTTTGAGACAGAGTCTCACTGTGTTGCCCGGGCTAGAGTGCCATGGCGTCATCCTAGCTCACAGCAACCTCAAACTCTTGGGCTCAAGCGATCCATCCTCCTGCCTCAGCCTCCCGAGTAGCTGAGACTACAGGCATGCGCCACCATGCCCAGCTAATTTTTTCTATATATTTTTAGTTGTCCAATTAATTTCTTTCTAATTTTAGTAGAGACGGGGTCTCGCTCTCGCTCAGGCTGGTCTCGAACTCCTGAGCTCAAACAATCCGCCCGCCTCGGCCTCTCGGAGAGCTAGGATTACAGGCGTGAGCCACCGCGCCCAGCCAACATTTATTGAACAACCACTGTGTGCAGGGCTTGTGCTAATGTTCTAAGGATACAAAAATGGATTAAGCCTAGTCCTGCACTCAGAGCTCTCCCAAGCAAGAGGAAATACATGTAGATAGGTAGCTGTTAATGGTGTGCTAAGGGCACTAAACTCATTTAATACTCGCCATGCCTCATTCAGGAAACACTTACCACCATGATGTGTTAGGCACTGTGGAGGCTTTGGAATGTAACTGTGATCAAAATATACAAGGTCTTTACCTTCTTGGAGTCCACATTCTTGTGTGGAGGTCAGGAGGAGAAAAGGGGACAGCCAAAGGAAGTAAATAAATAGCAATTATAAACAGCACTAGGCATTTTGAAGAAAATAAAATGATGTCAGAAGATAACTGCAGTGGAGAAGGACTTTAGGGTGGTCAGAGAGTCTCTCTGAGAGAATAAATTGGAGGCAGGGTAAATATGCAAATGAGTTAGAGATCTTAGAAACAGTGGAGATGGAAGGAAAGTTGAGAAATACAGTGGGTTGGTACCAAACCATATCACTGGAAGTTCTTTTATAAAGGTCATTGATAAACCTCTATACAATTTAAGCTAATGGACAGTTCTCTGGCTCCTCAGGTTTGGTAGTACGAATGGTAGGTAAGGAAGTAGAGAAATATTTGTAGAAAAATATTCTGAGAAATTTTTTTGTGAAAGGGAAACATGGAAATGATGCAGTGGTTGTAGGGTTAAGAGAAGGTTCTTGGGCTGGGTGCAGTGGTTCACACCTGTAATCCTAGCACTCTGGAAGGCTGAGACAGGAGGATTGCTTGAGGTCAGGTGTTTGAGACCAGCCTGAGCTAGAGCAAGACCCTGTTGCCACTAAAAATAGAAAAAATTAGCTAGGTGTGGTGGCATGCACCTGTAGTCCCAGCTACTTGGGAGGCTGAGGCAGGAGGGTCGCTTAAGCCCAGGAGTTTGAGGTTGCTGTGAGCTAGGCTGACAACACAGCACTCTGGCCCAGGTGACAGAGCAAGACTCTGCCTGAAAAAAAAAAATAAAAAGAGGGTTCTTGTAAGTTGGGAAATTCTAAAGTATCTCTGTATGCCCATGGGAATGGTGCATCAGTGATACATTGATGAAGGGGAAAGAGGCAATGACTGAAAAAGTTAAGTCTTTTTAGAAGGTAAATGAGAATGGGATCAACACCGTACACAGGGATTGGCCTTGGGTGGAAACAGGGCTCTTTATCCCCTGTAATAGGAGGCACAACAGTGTACATGCAGATAGGTTAATAGATGTAGTATCTGGAAAATGAGGAATTACTGTCTAATTTTATTTTCTGATTGAAGAATGAGGTGAGATTATCCGCTGAGAGTAGGGTGGAGAATGGGGGTGGGTGATGCCTGAGCAGAAAAGAAGAGTTGTGACGTCGTAGTCTCAGAGATTGAGAGTCAGCCTTCTAAGAAAAGTAGGACTGACACGTCTTTGTGTCTCTTTGAGATCTTTGACCATGAATTAAAGAGCAAATAGCACAATTGTGTGATTTTGGTTTTTTTATCTGGCAACATTCAGCTGCTGAAATAGACAGAATGAATGATTAATCAGGGTTGGGGGTTTTGCCAGGCTAATAGAGAGAAGGACTAGAGGAACAAGATATTTGAGCGTTTGCCAGATAATCATGATGGATCATGGATGGAAGGCAAGGACCTGAGTGGAGACAAGACGGGGTGATGGATAGCAAAAAAGTGGTCAGTGAGTTAGAAATACTGGTGAGGCTAAAGGAGTTTTGCAGTGGGAATGCCAGAGTAAGTAAGGTAGTGGTGATAGAGTGGGGTGCTTGAAGGTGAAATTTTGAAAGTGGTGCAGGTACTGGTAGTGATAAGGTCTAGAAGGTCTAGGATGTAACCGTGGCAGGGGGGTGGCTGAAGTGAAATGAAGATTATTGGAGTTGAGGAAGTCAAGGAACTGAGAGGTCAACACTGAAGTTATTGAGTGGAAGGCCGGGTTAGGAGCTAAATTCCTCAGTGAACAAGGACAGGTTAATGGATGCCACAGTGAGGAGGAAATGTGGAAGTGTGATAGTGAACCACTGGGTGGCATGAGCTTTAAAGGGACCAGGGTATTTGAAAGAGGAAGACATGGTTTGGAAACTGCATTGAGGAGCAAGGAACACATACTTCCTGCTTTTGAGATATAGAGGGTGCAAGAGTCTTAAAAACAAAAAACAAAACCCTGAGACCCTTCAAAGGCTGCAGAAGAAATAGTATCATTAGGGAACAGCCAGGTATCTGTGAAGACAAGCAGGTGAAGAGAATTTGCAGAGAAGCAGTTGAAGTTACCAGTGAGCATAATCATAGTTCCAGAGAGCATACTGAGGATTTGGGAGGGAGAAGAGGTAGGGATTGGGTATAACGAGGAGACGTTTATATCAGTGATAATCGATAACCTAGGAGTCTTGGATTTCGGGCTGCAACCCACTTAAACAAGCGTGGGAGGTGTGGTGGGATTAGCCTACTATCAGCCTCTTTTGAGAGGTGGACAGTTTACCTTAGTTTATTGATGACCTTGGGTAGATGGTGAGAGATCATGAGGTAATTCAGTGGCCTCTTCTACCTGCATAGTTAGCCAGAAAAGGCTAATTTATTTTAAGGAGCTAAAATCTGAAATGTTTCTGTGGAGTTGAACTTTGTTAATGAGTATTTTTATAACATTTGTTTAATGGCATACAATTCTAGGTCTTAAATCCCAATACATGTGTTCACGTTGTATTTTTCTTGAAATACGTGTAGTAGGCATCTCAGTATACGTTTCATCAGATATATGCTGAGCACCTACTGCGTGTCAGGTTCTGTTTTAGGAATTACAAACGTAAGATACCATCTCTATTTTTCATTCACTCACATTCCAGTTCAAGGGTTCTTAACATTAACCCCCCTGAAAAGTATGTGAATTTCTATATGTATATGTGCTTTTTGGGGTTTTGTTGTTGTTGTTTTTGTTTTTTGGTGTTTTGAGAATTAGGAAGGAGATGGGAGGGTCCGTAGCTTTTTATCAGATTCTCAAAGGAGGTCTGTTTATTTAAAGTCCACTGATCTAATAGAGAAAGACGTGTAAACTAATCATTGTAATGCACTGTAATCAATGCCATCACAGAGCAAGATAAAGGAAGAACAAATTCACTTTGAAGGGTGACTTCATTAATTCAGTGGACATTTATTTCAATGGGATATGATAGTCTCTGTTCTAGGTAATTTATACATTATTTGAAATACTCCAACATCCTTTTTACATACATAATAATATTAATGTTCTGTATACTGGGATACATAGGTGAGGAAAGGTTAATTAACTTACCCCAAATCTCATAGGAGTAATTCAAATCTGGGTCTGTTTTATTGCAAAGTCCACTACTTTTCATTACACCCTACTGGGGAGCCATGAAGGACTCATTGTATAATAAACAAGAGAATGTAATGTTTGTATTTTTTAACTTGGCAATGGTAGGAATGGGTCATTAAAATGTTTGTTTTGCATGTTTATGGAATTTCTATGCACTTAAAATTTGAAATACTTTTAATTTGTCTATTATACATGTTAAACTGCACTTTTATATTTAATTAGGCTTTCATTTCTTTTTAAAGAACCTTTTAGTTTGTTACTACTGGACCAAAAAAATGACATCTATTATCAAATTGACTACCCTCTCTGGGGTCCAAGAAGAATCTGCTCTTTGCTATCTTCTCCAAGTTGATGAGTTTAGATTTTTATTGGACTGTGGCTGGGATGAGCACTTTTCTATGGATATTATAGATTCCCTGAGGAAGTAAGTTACATTTGATATTTCTCGTCTTTTATTAAGTCAACTTCTCTTTTCTACAATGTAATAGCATTTTGATGTTATATAGTGTTGCTTTTTTGCACTAATTTAGTTTATGCCAAAAAGCTAAATAGTGACCATTTTATCTTGTAAAGTTTTGATTGACTTATAAGCTTTGTTCTTGAAATTCAGCAAAATCTTGAGATATTCTTTGTCTAGTGGATTTCAGTAGAAATTTTTGTACCCTAATTTTAGGAAAGAGCAAGAGTACATAAGAATTTGAGGAGAGGAAATGTCTTCCATGTGAAAGTTTGATAATCGGATCACATTAGCTTACTTTCTATTAGCACATCTTTTGATGCTAAACATTGTGAATTTGTTCTCAGAATAATGACCATGAAATACAAAAGGATCCTAGTCCAAAAGATTCAGTTATGTTTGCAATATTATACTAATTATGGAAGGAAAGAGGACTTAAATATTTAAAAAACTTGAAGCCAAAAATTAAATCATCTTGTTAATTTCTTTTGGCAATAACAACATATGCTTCCCTGATTAATTAAAGTTGTATTATAATGAATATGCCACCAGTCACCATGCTAAAAAGCCAGTGAATATCCATAATAAATATGTGGCCATTTAAATATTCTCTCCTTAGTCTGGTGCGTAGGCTTGTGCCTATAGTCCCAGCCACTTAGGAGGCTGAGGTGGGAACGTCACTTGAGCCCAGGAATTTGAGACCAGCATGGGACAACATAGCACGATCCTGTCTCAAAAAAACAAAATTCTCTTTTTAACAATGTCTGAAATTCCAAGCTGAGCTCTTGAACTTAATAGTATACAGGATATCTGTTCAAAATCAATCACCTTAATTGTGTTGTCTACTGGGTTTTTGGTTTTTTTTAAAGACAGTCTCCCTCTGTTGCCCTGGGTAGAGGGCAGTGGCATGATCACGGCTCACTACAACCTCAAACTCCTGGGCTCAAGCAATTCTCCTGCCTCAGCCTCCTGAGTAGGTGCAACTACAGGCGTGTGCCACCACTCCCGGCCAATTTTTTCTCTTTTTGGTAGAGACAGGTCTTGGTGTTGCTCAGGCTGGTCTCAAACTCCTGACCTCAAGTGATCTTCCTGCCTCGGCCTCTCAGAGTGCTAGGATTATGGGTGTGAGCCACTGCACCATCCCTTCTTTTCTTTTTTAAATGTGTCTAGACACTGTATATTTAGGTGTAACTTATACCATAATTTTGATATCTATGCTGAGTGGTAGTAATAATCGAAATTCATAGGTGTCATAATTTTAGCTGTTAGTTTTGCTCTTCTACCCCAAGGTAGTCCTCAATCCAGAATTGGTGAATAATTTTGAATATCTTGTGTTTACCCTTAAAAACAAGATTTGAGAAAGTCATCCTTTTGATTTCGTTCTTCTAGACATGTTCACCAGATCGATGCAGTGCTACTGTCTCACCCTGATCCTCTCCATCTCGGTGCCCTCCCATATGCTGTTGGGAAGTTGGGTCTGAACTGTGCCATCTATGCAACCATTCCTGTCTATAAAATGGGACAGATGTTCATGTATGATCTTTATCAGGTAATTTAAGCAATTAAGAAAATTCTTTTAAACACTCCTTCAGTGATTACTTTTAACCTTTTCATATGTGGTGTTTTTGTTTTTTTAACGTCTCAGCCTCTATAATCACATGAATATGTGTTTTTCTTTTAGTCTCGACACAATACAGAAGACTTTACACTCTTTACATTAGATGATGTGGATGCAGCCTTTGATAAAATACAGCAGCTAAAATTCTCTCAGATTGTGAATTTGAAAGGTAAAAAATGTTTCCAGTAGTAAATAGTTGGACTAATGGGATGTAACCTACTGAAAAATACTGGGGAGAATTCATAGTCAAAATTAAAGGCACTGTGGTCTGAAGAATAAAAAATTAGCATATTCTGCCTTGATACAAAACTCTGAACTTCCATTTTAATTTTAAAATATTCCAAACTAAATACTAACAAAATGTTAATAGCATAGGCCTTTTCATATTTAACTTGGGAAAGACTTACTTAGTTTACTGTATGTGATGAACAAAAGTTAACTTAGCCAGATCCTGCTTCTCAGAGCTTATAGTTAGATTGAGGAGACAGGGCAGCTGAGATGGGTAAATGCAGTGATTGAAGTAAGTGAAGTGCTATGGCAGCAGAGTAGAAAATGACTGAATTCTAGAATTAGACCTTGAAAGTTTATTTAATTAGGTTAGGAAGGTATATATTAAATCTATATCATCTATAGAGAGAATTGTATTAGAATTTTTCATAAAAATGAGTCCTGGCACTGAAAAAATGATGGCGTAATGGACTCTTGAAGATTTAGCCCAGAAGTAACAATGGTCTTAATAGTTTTGCTTGTACTTAATTTTTCTATAGGATAAATTCTGTACCATAATGAAATTTGAATTATTATTCTGTCACTTTAGAGGTTAGCAAAAATGGAAACACTTGATAATTGTGTACAGTATAAATATTAAAATTTATTAGTTTATACTAAGTAATTTACATAATAAATACATACGTAATACATAATAAAACGACAAGAGTGTTTGCCTCCAGTGAGGGAATGAAGTAGCTGGGGGACAGGAGAGTGGGACTTGCATTTCATGGTATGCATTTTTACTTTTGAGTTTTGTATTATTGCATATATAGGATTTCCTATTAAAATAGCTTAGAAATAAATAACCTTTCTTTAGAGCGGTAAAAGAAATCTGAGTATTGTCATTATCTTCTTGATATAGGTAAAGGACATGGCTTGTCTATCACACCTCTGCCAGCCGGTCATATGATAGGTGGAACAATATGGAAAATAGTCAAAGATGGAGAAGAAGAAATTGTTTATGCAGTTGATTTCAACCACAAGAGGGAGATGTAAGTATATCAAGACAAAAGCTAAAGGAAATGTAATTGTTATTATTTCATTCTTAGGAGGGAAAATTAGAAAGAATTGGTTTTTTTTTTAACTGGAAATCATCAAATAGTGAATATTTTCAAAATTAATTATTTGTATAGTAAGGGGGAAAGTTTGGTATATGACATAAAGAGATTTTAAAAATTTATGCTTGAGTATGTACCCTATAAAACGTATCTCTCTGGATATGTTGCAAAGGAGATGAATTTTTATATACCAAGTAATATTTTATACACTCTTGACCTGCTACTTAGCAGAACTTCGTGGGGGGGGTGGTTTTTATTTTGTGAAGTCAGTAGTTACCATCTAATACAGCTACCCTGTAAAAAGTCAGATTCCTTTTAAAAGGGGACTTAATACTAGTCATAATTTTACATACTTCATTTGGTACTCAGAGCATTACTGTAAAATTTTTTGGTGTTTAGTCTCATATAGGCTTCTCTTGTCATATCTGTACATGAATTTCATAGCTGTTTTGTATTAGATGACAGTAGCTTCGAGATCTTTATATGAAGAAATACTCAAGGCTTAATAACTTGAATTTTAGATTCTTATAGAGTAATAAGGAGAGAATGAATATTTGAGTAAAGGCTATGGGGGAATTCAACCATTTGGGGGGAAAAGTCTATCTTTTTACCATATAGTAAAATAAATTTCAAATGGATTAGAATTAAATAGAATTGGTGAGTCTGATCTCTAATTTGGAAAAGACTTTGTAAGCATAAAGATAATGGGCCAAGTTACAAAGGAAAAATCTGATAGATTTGATTACATACAAGTTCAAAATGTCCAAAACAATAAGCTAAATTTAAAAATAGGGAAAATATTCACAGCAAGTTGGCCAAAGACTTACATGTATCTAACACCAGGCATTTATCAATTAATTGAAAAGATATCAGTTATAAAATGGACAAAAAGTTATAAAGTCAAAAAGAAAATTTAAATGATAATGACTTTTTTTAAAATGGTGATATTCTTCTTGGAAGTTTGTAGCAAGTTGGTCAGTCTTTCTGGTTGAACCTTTCTGGAAAAGGTTAACTCTGGAAAGCTGTTTAGCAATACTATATATTCTAGTAAATACATTTCTAGGAATGTGAATTAAGAAATAAGCAGAAATACAAGTCAAGCTTTTTATAAAAATGTTCTTTGAAAGATTATTTATAATGGTAAAAAGACTGACTTAAATATCAATAAAGAGAATGGTCAAATAAATACAGTATAAGACACAATAGAAAATTTTTACAATTGTTAAAAATTAGGTTTAGAAAAAAATTTTCATGTCATGGGAAAACCAGGATATAGAACTGAGTATATCAGAGTGTACATGGGATGTCAACTTTGTAAAGTACATATATATATATATATACATAGAACAAATTTATATGCTTAGAAGGATGCATACCACAATATTCTATCAATCATTTCTGAGTAATGGTACTCTGCAAGATTTTTATTTTCCCCTTTATACTTTTTTTTTTTTTTTTTTTTGAGACAGAGTCTCACTCTGTTTGCCCTGGCTAGAGTGAGTGCCGTGGCGTTAGCCTAGCTCACAGCAACCTCAAACTCCCGGGCTCCAGCGATCCTACTGCCTCAACCTCCCGAGTAGCTGGGACTACAGGCATGCGCCACCATGCCCAGCTAATTTTTTCTATATGTTTTTAGTTGTCCGATTAATTTCTTTCTATTTTTAGTAGAGATGGGGTCTCGCTCTTGCTCAGGCTGATCTCGAACTCCTGAGCTCAAACAATCCGCCCGCCTCGGCCTCCCAGAGTGCTAGGATTACAGGCGTGAGCCACCGCGCCCGGCCCCCTTTATACTTTTTTGAATTTACCAGATTTCCTTATCTGGTATACTGGTATGTTAGAGAGGGGGAAATCATGTATACTTTTATGGTTAGAGGTGGGAGAAAAACCTTATAAAAGAAGTTGCTTATTTTTTAAGTAAGAGAACCTTTTATTAATTGAAGTGATATAAAATATTCCTCTTCTTAAACTTTGTTATAGCCACTTAAATGGATGTTCCTTGGAAATGTTAAGCAGACCTTCCCTGCTTATCACAGATTCATTTAATGCTACATATGTACAGCCTAGAAGAAAACAGAGAGATGAGCAACTTCTGAGTATGTATTATATAATGTCCTTTTTAATAAGCTGTGAAGTGCATGATAGTATGAATTATTGTTTATTCTGTTTAACACTTTTCTTGGTCATAAGAGGTTGGCTAACTCTTGTATTTTTGAAAAAATGTTATGTGGTCATATCAGTATTTTGTATAAGAAGGTACTTTAGTTGGTTTAATTTAACTTTTGTGTAACAGGTATAAATATGGCTTCTCCCTACCATCCAGCACATAGCTAGCTCTCCCTGCCACTCACTGGTATATGTCTCTATATAAAGATATCGTAAAAATGTATTAGAAAAACATACTCTAAAAGAAAAATGAACAAAAGAGATAAATGAGGGTACAGTCCACTAATTTTGATGTTGTGTGTTTTACATTGATACAGTAGTCTTGGCTCTGAAGAGGTGCCTCTGGGCTTGCTTCTGCTTTGACTCAGGCTTCTTCATCTTAAATTTTTTTTTTAATAAGATATATGGAATTTCAATAGAGAAAATTGGATACCACTTTTAAGGCGGCAACTGCTGCTTTAGTCTATCTACTAAAAAAGTGTAACTAGTATACTCTGTTACACTAATTTTAAGAAGCTCTTCAATTCTTGGATTTTTAGGTTTTTGCTAGAGTTTAATTTTATCAGATATTTCCAAACAGACTTCCATCTAGAGCAAGGAAATCTATAAAGATGCTCTGTTGGATGGGAGTATAATCTATATATTATTGTACAGGCATACATACATCCAAAATATGTATTATATACAGTCGGCCGTCAGTATACACAGTTCTGCATCTGAGGATTCAACCAACCACGACTGAAAATATTTGAAAGAAAAAAAATAACACAACCATAAAAAATAATACAAATAAAAATATGGTATAACAACTATTTACATAGCATTTACATTATATTAAGTATTATAAGTAATCTAGAGATAATTTAAAGTATACAAGAAGATGTGCATGGGTTATATGCAAATACTATGCCATTTTATATAAGGGACTTGAGCGTCTATGAATTTTGGTATCTGGGGATCCTGGAACCAATACTTCATGGATACCAAGGGATGACTATATATTCATGTGTGTGTGTGTGTGTGTGTGTGTGTGTAAGTGTGTATATAAAATTGGGAATTCATCATAAGAAAGTTCTCAAAGGTGAGACCAGGGTGGCCTAGAATCCCCAGGCTGGTTGCATTTGGCCTAGTCATTCAGTTTTCCCAGTGATACAAATATAATTTTCTATGTGTATTATGATTTGTAAAGTGTTGACTACTGATTCGTAATTTTTCAGTGAAGAAAATTGACGAAAAAAATTGAAAGAAAATTCAGTTGAAAGAAAATTGAGTTAAAGGCATTGCTTACTCCTATGAAGATAAAGATATATTCAACAGAGTCAAAAGTAGTTGTGATGACTTCAACAAAATTCTTTCAGTTTGTACCTGACCTAGTAATTGCTTATTTATAAATTATAGTCTTTATAGTAAAAATAGGTAGGTAAAGTAAGCTTTAATTTTGTAGCAGAGTATTGTTATGTTCTATAGGGATTTTACATCTTGTTTTCTAGCAAATGTCCTGGAAACACTTCGAGGTGATGGAAATGTATTAATAGCAGTGGACACAGCAGGCAGAGTTTTGGAACTTGCTCAACTTCTTGATCAGATTTGGAGAACTAAAGATGCAGGATTGGGTGTTTACTCATTGGCTCTCCTAAATAATGTCAGTTATAATGTGGTGGAGTTTTCTAAGTCCCAGGTTTGTTTTCATGTTATCATTTGTAATAAAGAGGTTTGCTACATTTATTGGGCTTATGGAATATGGTGTCTGAATTGCCCTTTGAATTTTATTTTTCTGTTGAAGAGATTGTTAATAATAGGTAACCATTAACTGTTTACTGTTCTGTGTGCTTTACGTGTATTACTTCATTTAATCCTTATATACCCTACAAAATAGTTTCTATTTTTATCCCTATTTTGAAGATTGAGTAAGTTGCTTCTCTTCTAATTCTTAGTATATCAATCTGTAAAATGGGGACAAGAATAGAATCTACCTCATAGGAATAAATGTCTGAATTCATTGTTTGGGTTTTACTTATTTATTTATTTGAGACAGAGCCTTGCTCTGTTGCCCCGGCTGGAGTACAGTGGTGCCGTCATAGCTCACTGCAGCTTCAAACTCCTGGGCTCAAGCGATCCTCCTGCCTCAGCCTCCCGAGTAGCTGGGACTATTGGCTCGCTCCACCACACCCAGCTATTTTTGTATTTTTTGTAGAGATGGGGTCTTGCTTTTGCTCAGGCTGGTCTTGAACTCCTCACCTCAAGCAATCCTCCTGCCTTGGCCTCCCAGAGTGCTGGGATTACAGGCGTGAATCACTGTGCCTGGCCTGTTTTTTTTCTTTTAAATAAATTCTTTCCCTTGAATTAGCAATCTCTGGAAGTAAGATAATCATTTAGAACATGTACACTGCTTTTAAAAAAAGATTTAGAGTAATTTATAAGTGAAATATAATGCAAATTGGATTTTTAGGGATGATAACTGGAGTGGGAGGCTCTAATGGGGAAAAGAAACAGAAAATAAAATGCTTGTCCAAACTATAATTTAAGCAACCAATGGGGGAAAAAGACTTAAAACAAAATAGAACTTGAATTCCTTGGCTGTTAGAAAATATATTGAAGTCACAATATAGTATTTTCTAATTATTGTCATCTTTTCTCCCCATATTAGGTAGAATGGATGAGTGATAAATTGATGAGATGTTTTGAAGACAAAAGAAATAATCCATTTCAGTTTCGCCATCTCTCTTTATGTCATGGTCTTTCTGACTTGGCTCGAGTACCTAGCCCCAAAGTTGTACTTGCAAGCCAACCTGACCTGGAATGTGGATTTTCAAGGGATCTCTTTATTCAGTGGTGTCAGGACCCTAAAAACTCAATCATTCTAACTTACAGAACTACTCCTGGGACTTTAGCACGTTTCCTAATTGATAATCCTTCTGAAAAAATTACGGAAATAGAGGTAAGCACTTGGATGTGAATTTTATCTTAAAACTGGGGATACATTGTGTATGATGTGTAAAAATCAGTGACCAAATATAAACTTTAAAGTCGTTCCAGTATTTTTATCAGAATAACAGTAGAGAGCCATTAATAGCATGAATTTCAAAGACCGTTGACTGGAAATTCTCATTCTTGAACTCTTTCATGGTACCCTGTGGAATTATACCCAGAGGGTAAACATATACACTGTTTTTCCAGTCTCTCTGTAAAGTTCCTTTCCTGTCTTTTCCTTAATTTAAATCTGGATGTTTCCTAATGATGTTCTTTTCCCTGTAGCCCTCTAAAGTAGGTACTCTTTTTTTCTTTCCATGTTTCGTGTACTTTGAGTGGGGTAGGTGTCTTCCTTGTTGTGTATTGCAGCTTTCAAGCCATTTCTCTTCCCTTTGCAGTTCATGCCATCAGACCTGATGATATGCTGACCCCTCCTTGTTTCTGACATTTACTGATCTCCTGGTCATTCTCTGTCATTCACTGGTGATGTTAGACCCTGATTCACAGCCTTCCTGTCCACTTGTACTTAGGATTCCATTCTCAACTTTAACATCCATGTGTATGATCTGTCCAGTCCTTTGGTCCTCTCAGTTCCTTGACAGTTATCTTTTCCTCCACTCTACCTTAGCCATCCATTCCCACTATCATGGTGTCCACTCCTATGGTCATACCCATGACCTTATCATGATATGGCTGAACAGTCTCCAGATCTCTACCTCAAACATCCCACTCTGATCTTACAGCTGACTTTCTCTGTTGCTCCCATGCCAACAACTCTGGTCATGTTGGGACTTTCAGTTCACGAACCTCACCTTTTACTATCCATCATCTTTCTAGCTTAGAGACAGTGGTCCATCAATAATCATAATTTTGCAAACACTTAATTAACTCTCTTACCTTTCTTTCTGTTTATTCTACCTACCTGGAAAAACCTGGACCCTAGTTAAACCATGTGTGTCTGTGCCTGTACTTAAGCAGCCTTATGTTACTGGAGTTAAACACTACTGTGTGGACAGGTTTCCCTTCACCTTTACGACTTTGCATCTCAAAAGGGCACCCTACACTAGCACTCAGCATTCTGTAGGTGTTCCCTTTCTCACTCTCCCATGAGGCAATTTTATGTGTTCTTTTTCCTCAAATATCCTGCAGCTCACTCTCAGCCCTCATTCATAGCACATGACCTTGTCTCAAACTTAACAGAGAAGGAGAAGTGAGACAGGAATTCCTTTATGTTCCCACCACTAAATATATTTCTGTACTACATTTGCTGCCTTATCTCCTGTTATAGGTGCAAGATAATTAGTTAAATGACCAATACATCAAAAGATCATTTGCTTAATAACCAGTCCATTAAATCTATCAATTTTCCAAAACTAGTATTATTGAAGTTTATAGCAGTTGATGCTGAATGGAATGGTTACTAACTACCAGAGTTGTGCAAAGTTTTAGATGACTGCTTTTCATTTTGTCTTTGTAGCAGCCATTTTAAGGAATGTTTAGTTTGTTAAAAGCTAAGTGGTAAGGGTATCTTTGTCGTAAACTCTACTTAAAAAAAGCGTAATATTAGTAACTAAAAATCCGATAGATATTTTCTGTAAATACAGAATTGTTGAGCAAAGATGCAGAGCAAGAATATCAAAGTAAAATATTGTCTTTTGGGTTATTTAATAGCTTAGAAATACTTGAAGCAGTTTCATCAGATATGAAATACTGATTTTGAAAACTTTAATTACTAGAAATTCCATTAGGGCTGATAAGCCATTTGAGGAATTAATAAAAGAATATTAAAAGTGGGCCGGGCACAGTGGCTCACACCTGTAATCCCAGCACTCTGGGAAGATTGCTTGAGCTCAGGAGATTGAGACCAGCCTAAGCAAGAGTGAGACCCATGTCTACAAAAAAATAGAAAAATTAGCTGGGCATGGTGGCACATGCCTGTAGTCCCAGTTACCCAGGAGACTGAGGCAAGAGGATTGCTGGAGCCCAGGAGTTTGAGGTTGCAGTGAGCTATGATGATGCCACTGCACTCTAGCTGGGGCAACAGAGTGAGACTCTGTCTCCAGAAAAAACCAGAAAATGACATTTAAAAGCATCCTAAAGAAATGAGAAGCAGCCAAAACATGGAATGTTAGTTTTTTGATTTTTTTAAAAAAATAAGTAATATTTATGCTCAGGATTCTGTTCCTGCTCACCTTCTTAGGGATATTTCTTCTGCAGTTATTCCTCTCTCTCTGTTACCAGTTTTCCCTCTACTTGATCACATGCAAAACAATTTACTATTCTCTCTTCCCCTACTCCGGAACCTGTTCTCTTGGTCTTCCTTATGTCAGGTCTGTCTTACCTCTTTTTTTGTAGTTGAGGAAACGTGTGAAGCTTGAAGGGAAAGAACTTGAGGAATACTTGGAAAAAGAAAAACTAAAGAAAGAAGCTGCTAAAAAACTTGAGCAGTCAAAAGAGTGAGTCATTTTCAGACAGATTATAAATTTCTGTACGTAATTTGAGAAGAATGTATTTCTACGACTTAAATGTTTAGTTGAAAACATTTAAATTTTCTTAGGACTTCATCACTTTTGTTACGGACATCTTTCAAATGACTAGAATACCAAATCCTTTCAGTGCTAGTGCTACGATATATTCATCAACTGGCAATTAATGTTATGTTTTACAAAATGTTGGTCCAATAATATTGAATATTATTCTAGTCATGCATCACTTAACGATGGGGATATGTTCTGAGAAATATGTCGTTAGGTGATTTGGTCATTGTGTGAACATCGTGGAGTGTATTTACACAAACCTTGATAGTATAGCCTACAATGCACGTAGGCTGTATGGCCTAGCTTATTGCTCCTAGGCTACAAACCTGTGTAGCATGTTACTGTACTGAATACTTGTAGGTGGTTGTAACACAATGGTAAGTATTCATGTGTCTGAATGTAGAAAAGGCACAGTAAAAAAAAATACGGTATTATAATCTTATGGAACCACCTTTGTATTAATATATGTGATTTGTCATTGAGATATTATGCAGCACATAATTGTATATTATCATTTGGATTAATATTGAATTAAATTTGAATATTCAATAATTTTATAAATATTAATTCAAAATCTTTTTGGACTTTATGACCTTGATCTATTCCAAAATCCTCCTAGGGCAGATATAGATTCCAGTGATGAGAGCGACATTGAGGAAGATATTGACCAGCCATCAGCTCATAAGACAAAGCATGACCTGATGATGAAAGGTGAAGGTAGTAGGAAAGGAAGTTTCTTCAAACAGGCAAAAAAGTCTTATCCTATGTTTCCTGCCCCAGAAGAAAGAATTAAATGGGATGAATATGGAGAGATTATCAAGTATGTGAGCAAAACAAACTTTTCTTTCTTACAAATTAGAGGTATTATCTGTGTTACTATTCCAGCTCAATGAATTTGGTCTTTCTGGTCACTATGTACTTTGTTAGTTTCTGAGTGCCTCAGCTTGAAAAATATAGAAGACTTATAGTTTGAAATGCAAAAATAGAAATGTTAAAAAACATCTAGAGAATTAATATTAAGGGAAAACTCATAGTTTTATTACTTAGTTGTGTCAAAGGTTTAGAAAGATGATCAAGACTTTTTGCGCCCACTTAAGAGAGGCAGGGGACATCCTTAGACATAGGATAGAAAGAACTTTGATGGTTGGTGATACTACATTTGGGAAATGGGTTATATCTCAAATAATACACATGTGTTTTATGAGATATGTGAGATTAAGAGGAATATGAGATAGCATGAGTGGAACCATGGAAAAGCTATACCTACTATTAGACAAACAACTGAAATCATGTATTCTAATTGGAATTTTGAAAACACTACTAGCCTGTGTAAAAATCCTTTAGGGTTCTTGTTGCTTCCCTGGTAAATGTCAAATGCCTTAGCATAATGCGAGCGGTCTTTCACAATTTGGTTTCTCCCCACTTTTCTGTTATGTTTCTGTATATATCAGTGTGCTTTGTCCACTCTGGTGGTATCAGCCTTTCTGTTTCCTTCTGCATGGTTTTTCTGTGTCATGCCTTTGTACATGGTTTTCCTTTGGCTCTGTTCCATCTTTCCCTCTCAGATGTCCAGGTGCTGAATCTGGCCTCACTAAATAGTGGAAACTTTTCCCGTCTCCCAACACAGGTCCTTTTCTTGTACTTTCTTTGTATTTTCGTAGTGCTATCTTGAGCATATAGTGGAATTAGATCATTCTTGGGTTTAATTAGCAAAATTCCACTGTTTACTTGACCCTCCAAAACAATAGAGAGGAAACATAACAACTTAAAGTTGGCGATTTTGCTTACCATTCTACTTAATGAGTAGCCAATCTGTTTAGCATGCACAGTGATCTTTAGCTTCAATTTCCTTATCTGAAAAATGGGGATACGAATTAATTGAGGTTGTGTTTATAAGACACTTGGCCTAGAGCCTGACTCATAGTAAATGTACTTTAAGTGGTTGCTACTGCTGCTGTTGTTATGTAGATTACAGCTGGAGATATTGGACTCCAGGGGCTAAGAAGCTGCTGTAACAATCTGGGTGTTTGGGAATAGAGGCCTGGATTTTCAGAGAGAAGTGTGAGTGGATTTGGGAGTGGGGCACTGACAAATACAGGAGTCAGAGAATGTTTAAAAAAATGTTTTTTGTTTTTTTCTTTTAATTAAACTAGACTAGAACTCTTTCTAATATTGGAAATAAAAATGGGAAGCCAGATGTGTTAATAGTACATTGAAATAAAGATCAAGGCTTGTGAGGGAATTAATGATATTGTATCTCAGTCTCGATAATGTACAAATGGAGAGTCATCTGCTTTCTTGGGGTAGGAAGGAAATAACTGGGAGTTTTAAGGACATCAGAGGAGTTCTGAGATTTATTGGGATTTGGCAAAGAAAACTACAGAAATTGAGAGAAAGAATTATTGAAAAAATACAGAGCTAGGTTGCAATAGTACTCATGACAGCCACTAAGATCTTCTAATCACCTGCCTAGGGGCCTTTCACCAGTGCACACAGTGTATTTCAAAGAACACACTTTAATGGTTATGAAAAACATGACATAGGCAGTCATCTGATAATTGATATTACAAAATTGCATTGGCTTTGGATCAAATGTATGTTTAAATCTTGAAATACATGAGGAGTCTAAAAATTATGCCACCTACTAGTTAGTTATACATGTTATATGATATTAGCTTGCTTTTTACTACTTCTAATTAGAGACTTATTATTTAGACCAGAGGATTTCTTAGTGCCAGAACTTCAAGCTACTGAAGAAGAAAAAAGCAAATTAGAATCTGGTTTGACAAATGGAGATGAACCCATGGATCAGGATTTATCTGACGTTCCTACTAAATGCATTTCTACAACAGAGTCTATTGAAATAAAGTAAGTGCTTTTGTTGCAGTTTGAGAATAGATTATAAGATTAAGTTTCAAGCACTTGAATTATATAATTTACATAGTTTCAAAAGTGAAATTTCCGAAAATCCTCTAGTGCGTTTGTGCTTTTAAAATTTAATTTATCCATGAAGAGACTTGTGAAGTGTGGTGGTATTTTTATTAATGATATTTGAATGCCAAAGTAATTGACTTGGTGGTAGGAGTTGAACATTAAATCGTTCATTTATATGAAGAAACATCATTTCTGGCCTTTTTAGTAAGTCCATAAGCAGGTGACGGAGAATAGTGCAACTTACAGTTTAATTTTTTTTTTTTTTTTTGAGACAGAGTCTCACTGTGTCACCTGGGCTAGAGTGCAGTGGTGTCATCATAGCTTACTGCAGCCTCAAACTCATGGGCTCAAGCGATCCTCCTGCCTCAGCCTCTTGAGTAACTGGGACTGGTGTGTGCCACCATGCCTGGCTAATTTTTCTGTTTTTTGGTAGAGGTGGGGATCTTACTCTTGCTCAGGCTAGTCTCGAAGTCCTGGCTTCAAGTGATACTCTCGCCTTGGCCTCCCAAAGTGCTAGGATTATAGGTGTGAGCTGCTGTGCCTGGCCCAGTTTAATTTTTTCGAGTAACTGCTTGTTTTATAAAATATACTCCTTGACCTGAATATCTCTAGTGCCCTAATGTCTAGAAAATACTTCTGTGGTCTGAAGTAGTTAAGAAACCCTTTTTCCCCCCTTTCTACTTAAGTATAGTTAATCATACCAATAAATGATTATTTTGGAATTTTTTTTTGTCATCAGAGAGCAAAGTGGTTTTTGTCCAATTATAGCTAAGACCTAAATAATATATTTTTGGGTATAGCTAAGAAATAATACATATTAACAATATAATACATGTATATTTCTCAAATCCTCATTTTATATATTGTATACATTTTTTTCTGATGATAAAAACCAGTTTTTTTTTTTAGAGTTGTCAGAAAAGTAATCTTGAATAATCATGTCTAATTACAGAGCCAGGGTTACTTACATAGACTATGAAGGACGCTCTGATGGGGATTCCATTAAAAAAATCATTAATCAGATGAAACCACGACAATTGATCATTGTCCATGGCCCACCAGAGGCCAGTCAAGATCTGGCAGAGTGCTGCCGTGCATTCGGTGGAAAAGATATTAAAGTGTACATGCCAAAGCTACACGAAACAGTTGATGCCACTAGTGAAACACACATCTACCAGGTAAATATGCTGGCGGTTGGCACTGAGTAGAAATAAATATTTTTTGTTGCAGATTAGGACAGATACGTTAGGAATACAGGGATGAGTGAGGCAGACATGGTCTCCTGCCCTAGCAGACCTGATAGTCTATGGGGCTTATAAAAAGGAAATAGCATTTACCGCATTGTCATACCCCTGAGAGAGAAGTTTAGGATGCTAGGAGAGTGTAAAAGGGGAGGAACCCAACTCAAATTTAGAGGTTTAGAAAAGATTTCTTGGAAGAAGTGATAACTAAGCTGAATCCTAACAGATCTTTAGATGGATTGTCAGGTGGATAGAGTAAGAAAGAGAAGGGGAAAGAGTGTTCCATGCAGAGGGAACAATATTTACAAAAGTACAGAGGTGAGGGGAATGATGAGTGTTAAAGAATTCAAAAGTTCTAGAAAAATTCACGGTTGTTAAGGTTCTACTCCTAATTGAAACAAATGGAAATAGGTATAGAATTCAGGACTAGCACAGTGGAGAGATTAACTCTTACCTGGTAAAGGGAGATGGTGTCAGTTTAAAACAGAAGTGATGTCTATATCTGGAAGAAATGGGTTGGAACTTACCAGGCAGAAAAATTATTCTAGGCAGAGCAAGAGGAAGCAACATTTCAAGAATATGGAGGTGTGAAACTCTATGGTATATTAGAAAAGTAAAAGCAGTTCAGTGTTCCTGAAGTATACCAAGTGCTAGAGGATGAGACTTAGCAGTGGTTCTCAACCTCGGCTGCACAGGAGAATCATCTGGGAAGCTTTTCTGGGAGCCAGAGGAATTCAGTGCTCTGATATTAATCTCACTGGTTATATTAGAAACACTGGAGAGAAGGCCCCGGCAGTCATTGTTTTTTAATTGCCATGTGATTCCAATGTGTAGACAGGATTAAAAACCTCTACTTCGGCAAGTGGACAGGGACCCTAATGATCTTATAGGTGATTAGGTCTTGGTCATTGTGAGGATCAGATGAGTGAAAGATTTTCAAATTTTAATCACATTACCAGAGCTAGAAAATAATAATAATTGGTTATATTTAATTTGTTAATCTACATCCTGTGGGTTTTATTTCTCCACCTCCCCTTTGCATATCTAGGTGAGATTAAAAGACTCTCTTGTCAGCTCCCTTCAGTTTTGTAAGGCAAAAGATGCTGAATTAGCTTGGATAGATGGTGTCTTAGACATGAGAGTTTCCAAAGTGGACACAGGCGTTATTTTAGAAGAAGGAGAACTGAAGGATGATGCAGAAGACTCAGAAATGCAAGTAGATGCCCCTTCAGATTCTAGCGTTATAGCACAACAAAAGGCCATGAAAAGTCTGTTTGGAGATGATGAGAAAGAAACAGGTGAAGAAAGTGAAATCATTCCGACTTTGGAACCCTTGCCACCTCATGAGGTAAAAAAAAAAAAAAAAAAGTGCTTTTTCTCTTTCTTCCTTAATTTGTTATCATTCTAGTTTTCCTTTTGTGTTTTTAACCATTTGAAATATGTGTCACATTTCGGCTGATTTGGGAGTTTTTAAAAAAGACTACTGAGGACGTGTTTGTGTGCATCTGTGTGTGCGGCAATTCTGTATGGGTAGGGAATGATGACAATTAACAGGAAATCTTTAGCAAATCTTTTAAGGTACATAATTGTTTTGTGACCTTTTTTTCAGTATGGATTTTTAAATATTAAGTTTGATGATTGTGAGGCTCACCTACCTGCTTCTAATCAGGAGATTTATAGTTTTCTAAGAATGTCTTACTGTTGCACTCCATTTTTGTATATTGTCAATTCTGTTCAAATCACTTTTGGTTTTGTTATAGTTAGAAATCTTTTATTAAATATAGATATAATTTTAGTGTAGTATTTACATGTTCTCAAGCAGTACCTAGTTAATTAACAAAGACTCTAGGTAATTAAACTTAAAACAATATTAAATTTGAGTCCTACACGAATATAAAGTGATGTCTTCAGCCCTGCTATGAAATTAACAATAGAGAGAGATAGCCTCTGTCTTTGGATTCCCTGCTAGTACTACTCTTGAAATTGGGAGGAGGGATTAGCATCTTTTTTCTTTCTGTTCTAAAGCTAGTGCTTTTCTAAGCAATTTCAAAAGAGCAGCATTAGGCAAGAGCCATTTTCCTTTCTGATTGTAAAACCTGTGGCATCTGTTGCATTTTCTCTAAGGATGAAGGGACAGTGGAGATGGGATTAGGAAAGAATTATCCTCTGAACTAAGCAAAGGAGTGGGATCTGGAAAATGAATTTTTGGTTCAGTTCTGCCTAATGGCACTCTAGTTGACCCCTTTAGGCAAGTGGGTGAGTGAAGAGCATAACATTACCAAGCATCTCTCTGTTATTATGAAGCATGACTAATAAAATTGATTGTGAAACATTCAGAAAATGTGAGGGGCTTTGTAATGTTAAGTAATGGGGTAAAATTCAGAATAACAACTTGGAATGTGATTTATAGTCTTGAAATACTCTGTCAAAGGACTTCAGGGAATAATAGAAGATATCTTAGAGATCATGTGGTGTTTTACTTTATTCAGTACAGCTATGTGTCTGGTGTTTTATTTGAAGTTATTCTTTCCCCTCTGCCCTTACCTAAGGTTCCTGGACATCAGTCAGTTTTTATGAATGAACCAAGACTATCAGACTTCAAGCAAGTTCTTTTACGGGAGGGGATTCAAGCTGAATTTGTAGGAGGCGTGCTTGTTTGCAACAATCAAGTAGCAGTCCGTAGAGTAAGTGTGTTTTTAATAGGAGCTGAACAGAATACATACTTCTGATGTTTTGTCATTTTGAATTCCGTAATACTTGATTGGTAATTTCACAAAACTGAAGATCAGTAACTTATATTCATAATGATGACCTTGAAGACTTATAAAAGTCTTATCGAAGGCTCTAGAAAAAATGATATATAATTTTATCAGAAATTTTTGTTATTTGAATTCTCTGACATTTATGTGTCTATGTAAAATTCATGAGTTAAATATTACATCCATATTCTGTGAATCGGAGCAACCCATTTCCTGACTAATCATAAAGTAATCTATTTCATGTATTTTGGTTATTATATCTGCATATTTATTAATGAATAGAAAATGTACTAAAGAATTTTTTTTAACTTGGTTTCTAGACGGAAACTGGACGCATCGGATTAGAAGGCTGCCTTTGTCAAGATTTTTATAGGATAAGAGACCTTTTATATGAACAATATGCCATTGTGTAAAGGACGTGATGTCAAAAAGTATCTGCTTGACCTTTCTAAGAAAAAAGGATTCTTACCTTATTCTAAGCTTTTACTGTTTTGTTTTGTAACATACGAAAAGAATCTGCCAGAAAAACTTACATGTGTTAGATTTTTAAAATGTAAATATTAATAGAGAACATTTTGCTAATGCTCAAATGAGCATTATATAGCTTTTGGCTTTCAGAGTGATAGCGCTCCTAGCAAGTGTACAGGCTCAAGAGTTGAAGGTGATTGGTTTCCTTTACAGACCCCTTATTCTAGAAGGGCTTTTTACTTGAATAAAACAATGCAACTTAGCAAACCAGTTCATGGCCTTAGAGAAATATGTTTGCATGAGTTTTTGCAAACTGTTTCTTATATATTCTGGAACGAAAAGTAAGAATTATTTAGAAAAATCATGCTACAAAAAAACAGATACAACAGTTTTTTGACACTTATTTTAAAAAACAACAAAAAAAATACATGCTGTGACTGTTCTAATTTGAATATGCAATTGTTTTGACATGGAGCACAGGTGCTCCATGCTTGTATTTCCTAATGATTCACTCTAGAGTAAGGTAGTACACATTTGGTTCAGAAATCAATTTTTCTTTCTCCTATTTCTTTTATTATGATTTTGTTATTTTTCAGTTTGAATTATGATATCATCATTTGAATGTACATAATTCAAAAGAACTCCATGATGTGTTAAAGTCTTAAGGGCTCTGCATAGCATACATTTTAGACACATCTTAACCATCAGCTAGGTTACTGTATTGGAAACTGTTTAGTGCTCAGTTTTTAAGACTGCAAATGTTGAACCTCACATTTTTTATAAGGTAACAGTATAATTTAATTAACAGGTGTAAATGTTTTCATCTCTTAGGCTTGTGCTCTCTTAAGGTTACCCAAGTAGTAATTGGATTTTATACATATTACTACAAAAATAATGCTGAAGTTGGATAAGGTTATCCTTTCTGTGTTCATGCCTTTCTTGTGGCTCACCACCCTGATACATTATAAACCGCTTGTGTTCAAGAGTAGAAACAATACATGGAATTTTTATTGAACTAAGCAATGAAAACCATGTCACTCTATTATAATTTGTTGATGCTTTTTTAGAAAGTACCTTGATCATGGCAAACTTTGGTGTTTATTTCACAAGTATATAGGCTTCCTTTTTACACTTAGCATTTTTAGAAGGATCAATCTTGTTTAACTTATATGGAACTATGTATAGTACAAGCCAATGATATCAGACTAGAATTAATATTTCATTCTATTTCAAATGCTTACAAAGCCTCTGTTGTGGATTATAGTGCTAATGCAAAGTTTACAGCCTTCTTATACTGAAAAGCAGATATATAAAACAATGTTACAAAAGATAAACATAAAGAGTATGTTTTCTTTTTAGTGCTTTGAAAAAATTTCACTTAAACCCTTATTACTGTATGGAGTAAGCCTATAATCCTATTTATATTCCAGAGGCAAGAAAATCTGCATTTGTTTTATGACTTAAAGCATCTGGTTATACATACTACATTGTACTAACAATGTTGAAAAATTGTTTCTTGCCTAGCCTTTTTATTGTCCTATGAACAGGAATTAAATTTTAAAGTACTGCTTGAAGATGGCTATGCTAAATAATGTCATTGCAGGAGTAATACTTGTACCTGTTTCTAGATGACAATATTACTAAAATTTCTAACATAAAGACTTAGCTTCAGTTGCTTAAGAAACATGAAGACTTAGCTTCAGTTACTTAAGAAAAACATACATTTTAAAAATGACTGTGAAAGAAATCATGAAGTCAGAGGAACTTTCAGACCTTTATTGTTTAGAAGCAAGAATAAGTACATGTGACTATCGGCTGATTAGCAAATTATTTGGTTAAAAAGAAATTTTATTGTAGTATTTGTTTCAGGGGGATTATTAATGTCAAATATCATTGCAAACATTTCTGTATTTTCATGAACCTCTAGGTTCCCTGAAACAGAGGTAAGGAAGTCAATTTTCTAAGGTGGGCAATTCACCTTTTTTTTTTTTTTTTAATAGAGATACAATTCACATAAAATTCACTCTTAAAATATACAATTCATTGGTTTTGGTATATTCACAGAGTTGTACGGCCACTACAACTATATAATTCCAGAAACAGTTTCATCTCCCCAAAAAGAAACCCTATAGGGCCTATACCCATTAGCAGTCACTCCTCATTCTCCCTTCTTTCTAGCCCCTGACAACCATTAACCTACTTTCTATCTCCTTCAATTTGCTTTTTCTGGACATTTCATAAAAATGGAGTGGTACAATATAGTCCTCTGTCTGACTTCTTTCACTTAGCATAATGTTTTCAAAGTTCATTGATGTTGTAACATATATTAGTGTAATATTCCATTGTATAGATAGAGCACATTTTGCTTATCTAGTTGTCCGTTGATAGACATTTGGGTTGTTTCCCATTTTTGGCTGTTATGAAGAATGCTGCTTTGTAGTCATCCTAATGAGAGTGAAGAGGTGTCTCATTGAGGTTTTGATTTGCATTTCTTTAATGATGAGCATCTTTTCATGTCCTTATTGGTTATTTGTATATCTTCTTTGGAGTAATGTCTGTTTAAATCCTTTTACTGTTTTTAAGTTGGTTTATTTATCTTTTTATGGTTGAGTTACAAGAGTTTTTTTATGTGTTCTGGATACTAAACCATTATATATGATTTGGAAATATTTTATCTCATTTTGTGGCTTGTCTTTTCACTTTCTTGAATAGGGTACTTTGAAACACCGATGTTTTTAATTTTGATGAAAAGTTCAATTGATTTGGTTTTTTTAACCCCCCTTGGTTCCTTATACTATTAGTTTCATGTATATTAGAAACCATTCCTTCATCCAAGGTCATGAAATTTTACACCAATTTTTTTTCCTAACAGTTTTATAGTTTTAACTCTTACAGTTAGGTCTTTGATTCGTTTTGAATTAATTTTGGTATATGGTGTGAAGTAGGGGTGCAATTTCATTCTTTTGCATGTGGATACCTAGTTCTTGCAGCATCATTTGTTGAGAAGTCTGTATTTCCCCAATGAATTGTCCTGCCACCCTTGTTGAAAATTAGTTGCCCATAAATATTTGGATTTGTTCCTGGACTCACAATTCTGTTACATTGACCTATATTTCTATCTTTATGCTAGTACTATACTGTCTTGATTACTGTAGCTTTGTAATAAGTTTTGAAATCAGGAAGTATGAGTTCTCCAACTTTGTTCTCTTTCAAGATTGTTTTTGGCTGTTTTGGGTTCCTTACATTTTTATTTTTTTCCTTTTTAAAATTTTAATAGATTCAGGGGGTGCAAATTGAATTTCATTACCTTTATATATTGTGTAGTGGTGAAGTCTGGGCCTTTAGTGTACCTATCACTCACCTTGCATTTTTATATGAGTTTTAGAATCAGCTTATCTATTTCTGCAAAAAAGCCTACTTACTTTTAATGTGGGGAGAAGCAGTTGAAATTTACAACTTAAAATCTTAGGATATTATGACTAAAAGAGACTGTAAAACTCATTTAGTTCAACCCACTTAGTATTGAATGAATGGGCCTGTGGAAGGAAAGGGATTTGCTTGAGATCCGTGCAGCTGGTTAAAGACAGAGTTGGGATTGGAACTCAGCCTCATACCTTATAGAATCCAGTGTCCCTTCCTTCTTCCCTCCCTCTTTCTCAGGGACTTGCTCTGTCACCGAGGCTGGAGTGCAGTGGCATAATCATAGCACACTGTAACCTTGAACTGCTAGGGTCAAGCAATCCTCCTGCCTTAGCTTCCCAAGTAGCTAGGACTGTGGGCTACAGGC